GGGGGGGGGGGGGGGGTGTCATGACTTGTAGTCTACCTGCTAGGTTGGGAGTGGGGGAGGGAATGGCTCTTGAGCATCAACATGTGCTCTAATTGTACCCTCCCCCTGCCAGAGAAACCCAAAAATCGGCATCATACTGCATTGTATTAAGAGGATTGTCACTTGCAGACCAAGAGAAGTGATTCTACCGCTCCATTCAGCACTGGTGAGACTTCACCTGGAGCATGGTGTCCCCACATGTCGAGAAGGATGTAGACAGATTGGAAAGTGTCCAGCAGAGAGCAACAAAAATGATTAGAGGCCTGAGAAGCATGATTTATGAGGAAAGGCTGTAAGAACTAAGGTTATTTAGTCTGGAGAAGAAAAGACTGAGGGAAGTCTGGAGAAGAGAAGACTTGACATCAGTCTTTAAATATCTACAGGGCGATCACAGAGAGGATGGAGGTGGGCTTTTCTCTGTGGATGTAGGGGACAGGACTGTGAGCAATTGCCTCAAGTTGCAGCAGGGGAAATTTAGGTTGGAAATTAGGAGATTTCTGACTGTGAGGGTGGTAGAACAGGCTACCTAAAGAAGTTGTGGAATCTCTTTCCCTGGCTATTTTCAAGAGCAGGTTGGCTGGGATGGTTGAGTCAGGTTGATCCTGTCTTGAGCAGGGGCTGAACTAGACCTTGTGAAGTCCCTTCCAGCCCTACCTTCCTAGGGTCCTATGGCTTTGGGGTTGGGGCAATGAAGGTGGAAATGGCAGTTCTCATGCCTCCAGATCAGTTCCTCTGGCCATTTTCAATTGATAAAACATATAAGGAGTTCTCTAGTACTAATTAGGTCAGACACATCTACACTATAATTGCAGTCACAGCTGAGACTGCAGGATTTTAGGGATATCTTTGTCCTGTAGAGGGAGAACAATCATTGGGATGATGCATGGCTTGCTTTATAGACCATCTTTGAATCCTTTTGGAAGAAAGGAAAAAAACAAGGATTTGGAGTGGTATAGGGTGCAGCTTCCAAAGTGGGCAAAACAAGTTTCCCAAAGTTGGCAAAACAAGAGAAGTCTCATTTCCAGAGTGTACGAACTGCACTGCAAGGCAGCCCTGCTTCCTTCTCTGCCACATAGCTACCTCGGAGGCCATACTGCCCTTGCTTTTTCATTACTAAGGCTTGTGCCATTTCCATGTCTCTGAAAGATGACTGGTGTGTAACGGAAGTAAAAACTGAGCATGCAGTATTGAATTATGTCCAGAAATATGCAACCAAGGTATCTATCCATTTCTAAGAGGAACATGCCAGATAATCTAATAGCATATGTGAAACGTTCTCCTTGGCAGGAGATTTTTTCTGATAATCACCCAACTTTTCCCTTTCCCCTTTTCAGCCATTGTCCATTAGTATATATATCTAGCCTTACCATCCATGCTTCCTTTGGTGTTTGCCCATCATTTAGAGCTCCACAGAAGCAAAAGTGAAGGATCTTAGTACCGTGGTCACAGGATATCAGCGTTCCTCCCTATTAGCAAATGAAATACACAACAACAACAGAATAATCTCTCTGCACCATATCTAAAACCATATCCCTAGACTTGATTTTTAATGTTTTAATTGTTTTATTTCAGCGAGACTCTTAGCAGGGGCCACATCTTAATCAAATAGCTGTCTGGTAAACAACATCTCTCCCACCTGTGAGTCTGTGCACTGCTTTGCTTCACTGCCTCACCACACTGCTTCACCACCTTAAATCCAGCAGCACATAGGACTTCAGCATATGCACTGCTTCATTCACGTGTATAACATCAACTTTCTTCCTTATGGGTTTAAAGGTAAAACCAAGCCTACCAAGCTTCAAGATTGGTGCAGGGGCTTGGGGGCAACTGTACCCCAAATTCTAGAAAGCCAAACTCATGTCACGGCTGTGTGTTGCAAGACAGGGGGGTCAAAACTGCAGGGGTGGTAGCTCTTACTGAGGTGACAAAGCCTGCCAAGTTTCAAGGAGATCGGTACAGGGGCTTGGGGGGAACTGCCCCTCGAGCCGCTGACAAGCCAAACTCGTGCCATGGGTGACACTGTATGTTAAGGCACAGCAGGATGACAGCTGCAGGGATGGTGGCCCCTGTTGTGATGCCTGCCAGCTGTTGAGGAGTTTGATGCAGGGGGGTCCTGGGGCCCTGCACCCCTAGCTGCTGACAGACAAAACTTGTGACTTGGCTGCCTGTGGGACTGACTGTGTCTATCTTGGGGCAGTTGATTGTCTGTCTTGATTCTTTCTTCTCCTTAGCCTGGTTTTGTAGGTGCTAATTGATGCTCGTGAAGTCGTTATGTAGTAGCTAGGTCCTGTGTATTGACCTGGTCCCTGAGTGAATCATGATTGATGGGTAACTGGGAGCACAGCAGCTTAGCAGCCAGGTCTGCAGCAGTGTCTCCCCTCCCCACCCCAAGCCATAGATA